AATAATTGCAAAGGGTTTGTGTCATTTCGACTACACACATTTTGTCGACACACTTTTCATAGACAACTTTTAATACATGCCTTGCACGTGATGTCATATGGCATCGTACCAGCCACCACTGTGGCTGGTACGATATACTTGCACATGTGCCTGTACCTTCTGCAGCATACATTTCGCACAATCCCATTTGTTATTCTCGGCAAGCCTTGTTGAGAAGAACAAATTTGACAGCGCGAAATGTAAGCTGCAGAAGGTACGGGCACAGGAGCATGGTGTGGAGCAATGGCGAGTGATGTGACGTCAGTGCAAGCCATGTGTAGGAAAAAGTTTCATTAACACTGTGATGAACGCATGGTTGGAACACCAGTCCAGCCACCTTGGGCAGGCCTTAGGAGGGTGTCATAGTGGGATTATCCTGCTGCCCCACGAGCAAGATGCAGCACCCCAAGACCGTACCTGCAAACGAGTATAGCCGCAATGCCTAAATCTAGACATGCACGGGGCAGCCTACATGCACCGCCAAGATTATGTGCCAGATAGGGCGTGACAATTCTTTTTGAAATTCTTTTAGGCAGTGTGTAATGAAAAAAATGTGTCGACCAAACGTCGCAAGCTATGTCGACTAAAGGAACACAAGAACGTTTTGACCAAACTATTTATCAATCAAACATTGCAGTGTCGACCAAATGACCTGTGGGTGAAACGTTGTTTGATGAACTGACTGTCAGGAAACAATGTCGGTGTTTTTGATGGCGAGCAGGGTGGCTATGTTCGACAAATGTTTTGTTTCTGCTAAAAAGAAACGGAAGTGACGATATCGTGTCTGATTGGCTAGAGACTCAAATGACAAAAGTTAACTCTTTCGTCATTGGAGCCTCTAACCAATCAGACGCGATATCGTCACTTCCGTTTCTTTTTAGGAGAAATGAAACATTTGTCGAACATAACCCCCCCCGGGGGGCTATGTTGCACGTTTTGGACTCCCAGGAGGCCAGGGAGATGGAAGTGACGTCAACGACGCAGCAAATGCAGATTGGATGTTGAATTTGTTTTCTTCTGTCAACATCCAATCTGCGTTTGCTGTGTCGTTGACGTCACTTCCTTCTCCCTAGTCTCCTGGGAGTCCAAAAGGTGCAACGTAGACCCCAGTACTCTGATAGGCATAAAACAAGCAACATGCCATTCATCAAATTCCGATTCACACGTTCAACAAAATAGCAGGTTGCTTGCAAGAAAACCGAGCGGTGTCTTTCGCAACGTGAAAATAAGCCAGACATCAGAGCGAGCTCAAACTAAAGCCCCTCGATGTGATTGCGTGTCTTGCAAGTAGCGTCAAATGCGCGAGCGCACGAGCCCCATGTCTCGAGTGGCCCTTGGAAGCAAATGGCGGTGCAGCACTGAAATGAGCGGCCCTTGGAAGCGAATGGCGGCGGAGCACGCGCTCGCGGCACGTGTCTCGCGCGTTTCCACAACAAGGGTTGGCGGTACTTGTAAAAAAAGGCCTTCATCAAGGGGCTTTAGCTCCAACGACAACAGAACGCAGCCCTGGCGGTTGAAGCAACATGCAGAAGTTTCAAAACGTAGCGTCGTCGATTTCGAAGGTTCAGCCATTTTATTCCAAATTTTCAACGTGAAACTTGCGGCAGACGGAGTCGCGCGAACGAACGCCTATTTTCTGATTGAAATTTTTCGACAGCTGCTCATTACTTCGCTGACGCTATGTCGGCGTCTTGCTCCAACCGCTAGGGCTACGTTCTGGCAGTGTGCGAAATATTCACAATGTTTAGTTAAATTTTGCAGCGCGAAAAACACGGTCCGGGTTTCTCACAAACTCCCTGTAGAACACAACCAGTTTTGGAAATAGCAGTGAGAGAAATGCGCACTCACCGTTAGGCAAGCTGTGAAAACCAACGATGCCGACGAACCCCGAGGCGACTTTTTCAAAGTGAAGCTCAGGCGCAGCTATAGCACGCTTATGTTAAATACACAGGGATCGTTTTATCAACCTGATGGTGTAGACGTTAAGGTCTCGAAACACGCGTGCCGTCGACTCATGATCGTCTTCACAGAGCCAACAGAGCTCTGTATCAGTAGTGACGTTCCACCGGCGACGCCGATGCGAGCTGCGGCTGCTGCGGCCGCGAACGATGGCGAGCAACCAAACTATGGATAGGGATTTGGATTCTCTGGCGTCCCCTTTCAAAGCTCGACGAGATCGTCGGCCTGAAACTTTCCCGAAACAAGATTGGCCCTTAACTACGGCGTCCTTAACCCAGTGCCTTAACCCGAGACGTTTTTTTTGTTCTTTTTTTATGTATATAATCTTCGCTTAGCCATTTTTGTGCCACAAATCCAGAACTCTGAGTGAATCTAAATAAATCCGGTAGCTTGCGCCACCTAGCCTGTTTTCTATCCTTCTTCTTAAAGTGTTGGCCTAAAATTCCTTTCCTATTCGATATAAAATTAAATGATAGAATCATATTATATCTGCTTCCGCCGTTTACACGGCGCTTGCTTTCGCTCCACCTCCTCAAGGTCTAAGCTATGTGGCTACATTACATGTGCGAATGCTGTTCTGAACGATGCGTGCACTGCACGTGCTTACGTGCACCGCAGCCACGCGGGCTCTCTTGTGTAGATTTAGGTTTAGGTGATAAAAGAAAAATTTGGGGCCGAGTCATCGGTCGCGTGACGCTCAGGGTACACTGTACTCAGGGGGTGAGAGCGAATTCTTGCGCTGCAGAAACAGGTTCAATCCCCACCCCTACCCGCATCTATCTGACTGAGCATTGATGCCCCGTGCGTGCAAACATGTGCAGCGTGCGAGTGAACGTAGTTTTGGCAAGCCTGCTACGGTGGCAATCAGTTCGTCGAACGACGTTTCATGGACAAAATGTTTCGTCGACAGTGCGATGTTTCATTGACAGATCGTTTCGTGGAAACGAGCGCCCACTCGTTTCATCGACAGACGTTCCGACGTTTCGTCGACAGCTCGCTCTGCCAGGTTCGCCAGCTCCTCGTGGCCACTGCGCCTCCGCGGCGCGCAGCTTTGTGCTGGATTAATGGATACATGAAAGATGGCCGACTAGGCGTAGGGCGAACCGGGAGGCACTCACTTGATCGAATGACTATTTAGCCAACGCCCACGTTTGGAGCTCCAATGAGTACCTTTGTTTGGAGCTCACTGACTCGGCTCTCTTTAACCTCATCACAAAAAGTGCCTGGTATGTTGTTTTCTGGAAGGAATGTCACAAAGACTCGTTGGTTGCGAAGGTAAGCGCGTGGTGTGGCCGCATGGACGCGTGTCAAGCTCTGGTGGGGCTGACCTTTTCTTGGGGATATTTCCGACAACGCACACGGCGTTAGGAACATCCAAATCAATAGACCTTTCCAAAAAAGAGCGTGTGGCCGGTGCCATTTTGAGTGTTCGTGCGTATGGCGCGTGCTTTGCTCGCTTTCCGAAGCGACGAACACGCGCGTGCTGGGCTGTGAAGATCGCACGCTGGACTGTGATCTTGTAAACATTGAAAACGTCTATACAAAACACGCCCTTAAAAAAAAAAAAAAAAAAAAAAAAAAAAACACTGCAAGATGTTCAGTCTTCTTGCCGGTTTACGTGTGATATCGTCCTGAACGTGTCACACCTGGACGAGCCTGACCATTTCTTGGATTCCTGGTTCGTCAGGAAAGTACTCTTCTGCTGAGCAGCCGCCATCTTCAGCCCTTGGACTACGGGGTCTGAGGATGGTCTGAGGTGATAGTGGTTCCTGACGTACACACCGCCGCTAGGAGTTTGCACTGTAGCGCCTCGGTTCGAAACCAAATTGTATTATGACTGCCTTTTGCCAGGTGCTCTTTTTCAACTTCATACTTTATTGCACTTGAAATAAGAAAATAATGGGAATACGTCAGGCGTGCTAGTTCGGTGGAAAGGCGGAGGCCCATGCATCTGGTATACACACCGAACTTACCTAAACCAAACAGCTAGGCTGGTCCTTTGCGAGAGCCAAGAGAGCCTGGGTGTGGCAGTCTTTATACTTGTGCTGTTCCTGATGTCTCTGAGAAGCTTCTTGTGAGCTTGAGTAGGAAATATTGGTTCCAAGCTTTGAGGTAGGGCAGAGATGAATGTTCTTAGCTCCCTGCCCATCAGTAGCTCTGCTTAAAAAACAGATCCGATGTTAGGGGTGGAGCGGTAGTTGAGCAAGATCCTTACCATCGCTGCGCGACTTAGCGAGCATGGATTTAAGAGATCTGGGATAAGGTGGTGATGATGGCTCGTGAATAATGTCCCATTCTTGCACTAGTGCTCTGAATATTACTGAATCAAAGGGAAGTCCTTGGTCAGAGATTAGCACGTTAGGGATTCCAAACCGTTCAAAGACATCCATTAGAACCAAAATGAGTGCCTTCCGTTACTACAGAAACATCCCCACTTTACATTTCCAGATGCCCCGAAAAGAGGTTAACGTGCCCGGTTCCGGCTCTCCCGCCAGACAACGAACAAAGCACGTTTGTCCGTTTGCTTCCAACGCGTATTGCAGTTAAAATCCTGAGACTGGGAAGGTAACTTGAAAGAAAAAGTGTAAGAAGACACAGAAAAGGGGAGAAGTCTATCGGTGTGAGTTGGCGGTGACCTTGGGAGTTGGCTATAAAAGCTGTGGACGGAATAAATTTTGTTAGCTAGACGATTGTCCTGTCCCCGTTTTTCTGTGTCTCCTTGCACTATTTCTTTTAAATTTCTTTCCCAGTTTCAGGATTTTAACATCATGGTTCACATACACCAGCTCGCCTGCACCTTGAGAATGTTTGCGTATTCTAAGTACATTTTTTTAGTGAGTTACCTACTAAATATATAATGGAATAAGTAGTTGCTGCGCGAATAGCTTATTGCATTTACATTTACTTTAAAACAATTGTCGTCTGTCAACACTGGTGTCCAGATACCGCTGAAGTCGCATCTAATCCAATCCATTTCAATCCAGCTTTGCACACGTGCGCTCTCCTGTCTTTCTGCTTTGCTTCTTTTGTTACGTTGCGACCACGTTGGTTTTTGGTTTATAGTCCATTAGGTGTTTTACTGTTTTTTCAATCATGAGTCACGTCCTAATAAGATGGCTAAATACGGGCAGGACCCGCCTTTTTGACGTTGTGAGCATAAGGGACATCGTTGACACAAAAATCGGGGCGCTTATAATTCACAATAGCAAAGATCCAAGCGTGTTTGCAACCGACGTACTGATACGTTGGAAGGGCGAGAAACACCCGGCAAGGATCGAGGCTGTCGGTAAGCTTGCTTCGATGCTCTCGGTTTGAGAAGAACCCAGCGTTATTTTCAATGCGTGATTTGCCCGCCTTCGATTTCGCAACTGTCCTTTCTGAACAGGGAGCGCCGCACAAATGGAGAAGCGGTGTCAGCAAATAACGAAAAACAAGGAGGTGAAAGAAGCGTCTTCTAATGGGGCGTCGGAAGACGGCGACCAGGTACGTGTGCCCGTCATGATATGTGTCAGATATTTGTGGCGGCAACGAGCTTCAGCCGAGGAATGCTATTTTAGGACTATTTGAAGGGTGTGTGCTGTTTCTAATCCAAACTGGCGTACCTAATTACTGTTTCTACGCTTAAAAAAAAAAAAAAAAAAAGGAAGTTTAACAGAGCTCGCAAATTATTTCTGCACAAGACATTTTGAGTTTTTATTTAGTATAGACGCTTTTAGCACGCGCCAGATTAATGGGGTACGGAAATGAAATTCCAGCGCGCATTTTCTAGCTTAAATCTGTTGCATGTTGCACCCAGCCTCAAAAACACCAATCTTTCTTTGGAAGGCCCAAGAAAACAAAATTTAAAGCTAATTAAGCGATCTTTCAATGTGCACCTGGTGGATCCCTGTAAAGCTTAGTTAAGAGGTAATCTAGCTACGTCGGGAATCTTGCTACATAGTCATGACATGGCAGGAACCGTTACGTAGCAGTACTAAACATAGGAGCGGCGCTGCCCTTTGGAAGTATGCTCAACTGTTTTAAATGACCTCGGCCTGAACGTGATTGCAAATCCTTTGCTCATGCCAATGTTGATCCGTGCGCTTTGTCCCTTTGCAAAGGAAGCCAACGAGATGCCACGATGGACTCATTGAGGAATGTCACAGAGTTGATCCTGTGACTTCGCTGTACAGTTCGAAGCTGTTCTGCGCTTATTGACGTCGAGATGCTGCTGTGCTTCTGCATGGCTGAGAACTGTGGTAACGACTTGGTCGACAGCGATATGCCGATCAACAAGTTTCCGAACGACGAGAAACTTCGGGCCCTGCGGATCCGGTTGCACGTCCATTGTTTCTGACGTGGGTTCTGATGCCTGCTGCTCGCTTTCCGAAATGAATACGGAGCGGGTGGTGCCGGTGTCCTCATCCTCACTTGTGTCGTTCAAGTTTATGTTCCCAAGGATATTGTCCTGAAGCGCCATTGGAGTGGGCCACAGAAACACGACACGCACGACTGACCTCGTACTTGAAACGCTCGTCACCCCACGAGTACTTCGAACGGCTCGGTTGTAACATGTTGACGCTGTTGACGCCACCACAACGCTGACAATGCCACCAACGGCAGAGCTCATAACCACGCCAGCCTTGCTATGTCACAAATGTGGGAGAATCTTGTTTGTTTTTTTGTTTGCGCTGGATATCCCATGACGCATCGCGCTCTCCGTTCGCTTTTCTTCGAGCGCTTGCTCGAGTGCACCGTTTCGAACGAAACATATAGCCAGTCGTTCAAAATACGAACATGCGATTATCATTTCCGGTTATTATATGTCATGCTTGACTCATTTCCGAACAACATTTGAATATTTCTATTTTTATTTCCGTACCCTTTTAAAGCCGCCATAACTGACCTTCTCTCACTGAGATGTTGAACCTCTCAAACGGACGAAAGTTCGACCCATGTGAAGTCTCCGCTAGTAAAGGCCCGTTCACACTCTTGTGACTGAGCAAGACTGGGAGAGACCAGACTGGTTTTTAAGCCTCTTGCGATCTCTTAGGACCAGCTCCGCTCTGGCGCATCCGGTCCTAAGAAGTTGCAAAAGGCTTAAAAACCGGTCTGGTCTCTCTCGGTCGTACTTAGTTGCAAGAGTGTGAACGGGCCTTAACATGAACACGGCAGTCTCTAGATGAGGACATCAACACTGCCCTCTCCGTATTAATTTCGGAAAGCATGTTATGGCCGAGCCGTCCGAGGTACCCGTGGGGTGATGAGCGTTTCACGTGTGAGATCAGTCGTGCACGTCGTGAAATGGCGCTTCACGACGATTCCTTGGGAACATAGACTTGAACGACACAAGTGAGGATGAGGATGCCGCCCTCTCTGTATTAACCCCTTAAGTGCCACATTTTTTTCCCAAAAGTACACTAAAAGTGCCAAATTTTTTTTTATTTTGAATTTTTATTTCTCTAGTATTACACATAATTTGAAAAGTTTATTACAAAAAAATCTGTGGAGGCAAAAAAAATATTTGCCAACTAATACAAATGCTGCCCTCTATCATCACCACAGCAAAACTACACGGACGAGCCTTGCTCGTCCGTAGAATTGAGGGCTGCCGAAGAAACCACTGGACGAGTTGAGCTCGTCCATGGCATTTTTAGCCTAAAAATGGCCGACGAGCTCAGCTCGTCTAAGGCACTTAAAGGAGCTGTGCAACGATATTCAATTGAAATGTTTTTCACTTGACACGAGCTTACTGGCACACCTGGGACTCAAGGATACTCGCACGCAACGCCACTGGCCAAGAAACTCCTTTGTTGCGGTGTAATTTCAAGGACAAAAGCGATCATTTTCATTCAATCTCTCCTTCGCAAAATTTGGTGACGTACCGTGGGGATCGCAGTACACCCAAGTGACGATGTTTGAATGCGGTTCATAGATTGGTCCCGAGCATTGCGTGGGCACTCGACTTGGGCTCGTGATAATCGCTACCTCGGGTAGTGACCCGTGTCCAATCGCTGCAACGACGACAACAGCCGAGCCATAACAATGTCTGGAACTCAGCGCGTGTCCTGCGCTTTGCCAACCCCAGCGCGTGGCTATGATCAACACTGGCGGCATATAATCGGCTTCAGATCACGTGGCCGCTTGTACTAGCTGCGAGTTGAGGGGGTGAACGCTGCTCGTTTGTCTTTAATTTTTTTCTGGGACTTCTATTGCGTGGGGTGAAAAACGAACGCGTGTTTCATAAGTCATTAACGTTAAGGATCCGTTTTAAGCGGTATTTGTGCAAAGTACAAAAAGTGTTGCATCGCTCCTTTAAGGGGTTAATTTCGGGAAGCGAGCAGCAGGCGTCGGAACCCACATCGGAAGCGATAGACGTGCAGCTGGATCCACAGGGCATGAAGTTTTTTGTCGTTCGGAAACTTGTTGATCGGCATAGTGCTGTCGACCAAGTCGTTGCCACAGCTCTCAGCCATGCACAAGCGCGGCAGCATCTCGACGTCAAAAAGCACAGAACGTCTTCAAACTATACAGCTTGTCATGTGGCCACAGTGATGGAGTGTAGCGAGTGAAATAGATTTAAATTAAACGTGAAGGTCAGTAATAGCAGCACCCATGCACATCTGCACAGAAGTGTTTATATTGTTGCTCCAGTTCAATGTGAATAAAAGCTGTACGCCGTAACTGAAGCTTGGATGCCCTATCAATGTGACATTGCAGCAATCATGGTAAAATTTATTTATCAATTCAAATTAACCGAAGAGCGTGTTGGTAAAATTCACAGACCACAGAAAGATTAAAACATACTCGGGACGATAAATGACAATTATTTCTTTCAACTTGCAGCAACAGTAATCTTATGTTGTTGTGAGTTGAAAGAAATGTTTGTCGTCCATCGTCCCAAGTTTGCTTTATTCTTTCTGTGGACTGTTAATTTATAAACTTACTTAAATGTCAATTTAGACCCCTGCCCTTAGGTCATAGGAAACAATGTTGGTGACTACATTTTTAGACAAATCCTGTGGAAACTCGAAAATATTTTTGCAGTCTGCTTTGCAATCAATCTTTTATGAACTTTTTGTTTTTTTGCATTTCATTTTAATGAATGAAGAGCCTTATGTTGAAGTTTTGAGAATCAGTAGGATGCAAATGGTAAATATTTCTATGTTCAGTGCTTTGATCGGAAAAGTTTCGAGCTGTATAAAAGCAAAGACCTCTGAAAACTCGGATCACCTGAGAGAGAGTAAACAGACGCTCAAGGGCACCTCCTGAATGTCCATTTGAAAAGAAAAAAGCTGAACTTGACATGAGAGGTCGAAATGTAGTGGAAGTCTGCACTTCACTAAACTATACTTGAGGTTGCCGACACATACTGTGCCACTCTTGTGCATATGCTGGGAGCAAATATTTTGACCTCATAATTTGTGGTTGTCCACTTCAAGATATGTCATTGCAAAGACAGTCAGTCTAGCAGGATAGTAGGGCGTACGAATTTTGCAATTTTGCAACAATTTAGCAATACAACGGTTATTTTTCAGTTGGAAACTTGCAAGCACTGCGAAGTACTGGAGGTAGAGAACAACTCATTGAAGAGTCACATGCACGAGCTTCAGGAAGAGAACAACAAACTGAAGACTACCATCGACTACATAACCTCACAAAAAGATGGGATTGAAGGTGAGTAATACCCTGGTTATACAGGCTGTTTTTTTTAACTGTTGTAAGGCTAGTGGCAGATCGCAATTGCCAACTTGGGTTGACTCAGCTGACCTGGGATAATGCTCAAGGTGTAAGATATACCCTTTAGGTGAGGACACAACACAGGTAAATGCATGGCACCAGCCATTCAAAAACATATGGTTGATGAGCACCCGGCAGGCTGCATCATTCCGTGGCCACAGGGCCTCGGCTGACAGTCATCAGTTGGTTTAATGGCGAGACTGTACGATCAAGGTAGTACATTAGAGTAGTAATGCAAAACTATCGATAGTACTATCGACAGTCAACTATCGAAAAACTATCAATAGTACTATCGACAGTCGACTATCGATAGTACTATCGATATTCGACTATCGAAAAACTATCGATAGTTTTTATCGATAGTACTATATATAGTCCACTATCGAAAAACTGTCAATAGTACTATCGATAGTCGACTGTCAAAAAACTATCGATAGTACTATCGATAGTCGACTATCGGAAAATTATCGTTAATCGACTATCGGAAAACTATCGATAGTCGACTATCGTAAACCTATCGATAGTACTGCCGACAGTTCACTATCGATAGTTTTGCGACACTAGTAGTTAGCGTTGCTCCCTCTTCTCTTTTTCTCGCTTTATTAGAGCGCTGCTCTTAGGGGCCCGTTTCAGGCTTGAGCGGCGTCGGCGTAACCGCGCGGTGCATTATGGGTTTATGGGAAATGTCCCATAATGCACCGCGCGAGTCCCCCCCCCCTGGGTCACGTGACCTGGGGTGGTCACGTGACCCCTCCCCCAAGGTCACGTGACCCTCGATGACGTTAGTGATGACATCACCGGCATCCGTACCGTCATCGTCATCATCACTGATGATGATGCGATGACGTCATCGTCACTGATGACGCCACTGATGACGTCACCGACATCAGCATTGTCATCGTCATGATCACTCATGACGATGACGTTGCGATGACGTCATCGTCACTGATGACGTCATCGGTATCCGCATAATCATCGTTGACGTCACAGATCGCGTGACCTAGGAGGGTCACGTGACGATGCCGATGACGTCATCAGTGACGTCACTGATGATGGCATCGTTATCGTCACGTGACCCTCCTAGGTCACGCGTCCCTTCCCCCCCCCCGTAGGTCACTTGACCCACCCCCATTATCCTTTCCTCCTCCTCTTCAAGGGCTGCGCTCTAATTCGGCGTCACAGGGAGTTGTAAACTGCTTTCACTTCTTTTGTTTTCAAATGGGACACCAATTAGCCCAAGCACTTCTTTGGCTCAGCTTTCAGTGATGACGAAGACGGGATTTTGGGCGAAGAGAGGACGAAGGGAGGCGAGCGGCGGTGCGGCAACTGTGTTCGCTCTAGTAATGCAAAACTATCGATAGTATCGATACTCGCCAGAAATCTGACTATCGATAGTAAAAAACTATCGATAGTGCTATCGATAGTCGACCATCGAAAAACTATCCATAGTATTATCGATAGTCGACTATCGAAAAACTATCGATAGTACTATCAATAGTCGACTATCGATAGTTCTGCGATACTATCAATAGTTTTTCCAAAACTATCTATAGTATCGATAGTCGCTTTATCGATAGTTTTGCATCACTACATTAGAGGCAGGTGCAAGACAATTCAAAGGGGCACTATGGAGGGTTTTGGGATCGTCTATTTATGACTCAACCTGGCAATATACATGCTCGAGGTATGCCGCAATTCGAAAAATTATAATCATGTGCGGCCTATTTCAGTACTGAAATTGTGATCAAAGATTGCGACATCTCAGGCCTATAGACCAACACGCGGCCTTGACGTCACGCAACCGCGGTGGGGCTGTAGACGGCACGGCGCATGCGCAGACGCCTCACTTCGCGCAAATTCGGTTCGTGCGCACGCGCAGTGCCCACACCTGGTGTGGGCAAACGCGGGCTTGTCTGTAAACAGCGTGTCGGTCTATAGATAGTGCCACGTAATCCAGCTGGATGTGGGCGAATGACGAGTGGCCCGCATGAGCGATGGCATCCTGTGCGGATGCCATCGCTCACGCAGGGCTGGTCGGCTACTCTCCGCTCAAGAAGCCATCATTTGCGATTGGCTGATGAGCTTGTTGGTTGTTCAACCACAGTCTGCTGGGTCTGGTGGATTCATCTGTCAGTCCACTGGCGTCACTTGGGTCAGTGGCGACACTCCCCCCCCCTTCCCTCCCTCTGCTCGTTGCCCGTCGCTAAGACCTCTTTGCCCGCCGCGACACTCCCTAGAGTGTTGTACCTGGGGTGGTCCCCCCTAGTGCCACTGTGTCAGTTTGACTGTCTGTTCACACAATTTTTTCGATGTGCAGCGGCTTTGGACTTCGAAGTTTCTCGAAATTGGCTCATTCACATGTACAGCTTCACGCACAACAACGACATAACGACTTGCATGTATCTCGCAACACTTTATTGTCTGTGCTAGTGAGATAGTGTTTTCCTGCCAATAATATGAAATACGTGCAGTGAGAAGACACAATCCACTTACTTAAAAATTGACAAAGGCCCCTATGACAACGTCAACGTCGCGGGTCGCCAGTTGATTCCTTCACTAGGTTCGAAGGTTGACTGATTTAGTGGCTTTTGCTGATGGCCAGCAAGTGTTGCATTCAAAATAAATGGTTATTTTTACTAATTTCAAACATAAAGCATACCTTGTAATTAGCCGCCTAATTGCACAAGCAATGTTATTCCTAGTGGCCCTAAGTCTGGTAAGCTAATGACAAAATTAAAAGTCCTAATACAAGTTCCCGTTTTTGAATGTTCTGAACCAGAAAAAAAAAAGAATAAAAACTTTGCTTTTGACTATTTTTGCTATGTCATAAGTATCATAGTTTACTTTTATTTGAAACTTGACGTTGTGATGCTAACAGAAATAGAAAATAGAAAAACTTTTTGTTTGACTCATGTATTTTCATTGCCCAGATCTGCAAACTGCTGCTAGCGAACTGCTTCGGTTCCGGGAGGAGCTCCAGCAAGACAGGGCAGCAAGAAATTTCGAAAAAGCTGAACAGTCTGCAAACGCTTGTCAGGTAATAGTTCCTTGGGACCTATTGTATACTGGTTCAGGATAATTGGAGGATGGTTTCTGTGGTGGAGTTCATGAATTACTGGGTACAAAGACCATATTGAATATGGGTAGGGGATGACAAATTGGTAAATCTACTCAGAGTTTCTCCTGGAAGTTTCTTTTCATAATCAGTTGCAGTGCCTGCAGTTTTCACTGTTGGCTGAAGGCAGATTCAGGAGGCTACATAGGGTTCCCATAAAATGAGCTTCCATTCATTATTCGGTGTTTTCGATTCAGACTGTATGCCGAATTCCTTTTTTTTTTTCTGTTCAGCTAAAGAAAGTCACTATTTAGGCCTGTGGCACATGCGGGGGTGGGATGAGAGTTCTTCACTGGCTGACATCTTGGTACAGTTTATTATCAACAATTTATCACACTTGCAGTCTCAATCAACACATTTTCTGGAGGCAGTGTATGGGCTTGTCTCATGGCTGAAATTTGTGCTCCCCTAGGGGATCAGATTTTGTGTGTCGAGTTCACTGTCCTCGCATGTCAAAAGATATATAATCTTCTGTGAAAAAAAAAATTGATTGGAGCAGTATTTGCGGCGTAAGATGCAATTGAAAGTGAGTGGTACTCCTCTCCATTTTTCTCTCTTGCGCTTCTCCGAGCCATTCGGAAAAAAGGTAAGTCCCGCCCATCACTGTTGGTTTGGCTTGGCTGCTCGGCTGCGCACCGTACGAGAGCCTCATGTCTGACCGCAGCAACCTCCGACTACACCTCAGTTGGTGGTCAAACGAGGCCTGGCGAAGTTCTTGGCTATGTTTAAAGGCCCATTCGAGCAGTCTGGGTCACTCTGTTGGGTTATGTCACCTGAATAGAGCAACGTTGGATTCGTGCAGGTTTTCAAATGCCAGGGCACAAAATCTTTACTGCAGAGCTGGATTGAGAAAGTCTTGGAACACAGCCCTTTTTTGTTACAGTATGACTTGGAATGGAAGTGACACTCCTGTTATACTCTTGTGAACAGTATGGCACTCACTGGATGGGTTGGACCTTAAACATAAAAATGTAGTTTAAAAGGTTATGGCAGCATACACAGATTTTGTACCCAACATCACAGACGTCCATTAACCTTTCAGCTAAGGGGAAGCTACCAACTGGCACCCAATGGGTCCCGATATCTCTGGGACCAGAGAAATTTGGTGCACACGAAAAGTATTGCACCATAAATATTGCTCCAATCAAGCTCTTTTTACGTGCCTGTTCATTCAGGCTGTTTTAATTTTTTTTTTTTATTGCTTCAGGCATACCCGCCAACTCTCCCGGATTACCCGCCAACTCTCCCGGGTTGTACGATTGACAGGAAAATCTCCCGAAAAGTATCCGCCATAGTTCTTTTTTTTTTTTTTGTGTCGTTTCATTGCTATAATCATCCATACAAAACTTGAAAGTATAAAACAGAGAGGACGAGGACGGGAAGAGGACATCTTTCATTTAGCAACAACTATGTTGTTGCTAAATGAAAGATGTCCTGTTCCCGTCCTCGTCCTCTCTGTTTTATACTTTCAAGTTTTGTATCTATTAACCAACACGCTCGTTTTCAACTGTATAATCATCACGCATGTGTCATTGCGAGTTACTCGAGAGCAGGTTTAGGTTACTCCGGCGGGTTACCACGTAACAACTCGGAGCAGTAGCGTAAAACGAGGGTAGATATTCAAACGCCAAGGTACCAAACCTTTACTCCTGAAGTTAGAGCGCATATTTGAACACGGCTTATATGACCATGGGTGCGCTATGCTTCAGTTGGCTTTGTCAGGTCGTCGAGTGAGGTGTGGAACACCGAACTACTCTTCGTGTTTCCCCGAGTTTAGTTGGAACCACTGATCTGTTGGAACGATCGATGGCACTTTCAAAAGCCAGAGAGAAGTACTTGCAAGTATTTCTGAGATCATACGCGACCGAGTTGCCGTGCTTTGTTGCTTTGCGGAAAGCTGACAAGTATGGATTGTGTACCATGTGCGCCTATGATGTGTGAGCGTTACGCATGGCGGCAAGCTTGACATCAAGATACACATCGCTTCACGAAAGCATCAGAACCATGCTCGTGCCATAGAAGGGCAGGGCACCTCTTGCAGTTTACGCCAAAACAACTGCGAAGACAGTGTGATTCGCGCAGACTGCCTCTTCACGGGGTTTCTCGTCAAACTAAAAAAAAAAAGATAATGTCCCCCTCCCCCCCCCCTTCCCCCTGTTTTCCGAGATTTGATTTCTCTGAACTTGGCAGGTACTTACAAAACTTAGAAGCTATGCATCTCTACCATGACGCTCAGGCAATGATAGTAGTCTTAAGAGTAACTTTCATCAGACCTTTTGAATTGTATGAGAACTTTTACAACATCATTCACTCTGATTACTTGCAGCAGGAAGACGACGAGCAGGTTGACCTGGGAGGATATAAAGTCAACAAGGCCGTGATTGACATGCTTCAGCTAGGACCGGCGAAAACAGCAACGACTTATGCTCGAGAACTCCTCAGGCAGGTGTTCACCACAGAAGAGCTGCTGGGGAAATCAATAACAGGAAAGCAGTCCAACGCCCACAAAGAGAAGGAGGCAAGGCCGCAATTGGACCCTGTTAGGGTCAACGCAGTTGTCAGTGAGTATTACTTTTTTGTGGTTTTGAGCATGGAAAGTGACCAGTGACATGTAGCAAAATATTTCCTCAGGGCCCCTGCAACAACTTTTTGGCTGGTTTGACACTTGCAGCGAGTCTGAGGTCAGATGACATAGTAATACGGAGAAACAATTGTTTTTTTTTTGTTTTTTTTACAAAATTGGCATTAGTTCAAAAGTTGGGGGCAAATTAAAATGACCAAATCTAGCAAGAAAGGTACTACCTCTGACATATTAGATCCCTCAATGTTGGGATCGTGGAGCCGCTCCTCGGGGGTGTGTCAACTATACTCGTTTTTACCTCAAGAAAAAGGTGTTTTGCGCATAGTTCATGTGCAGTGCAAAGTAGTCTCTTTAAGAGTATGGTCGTCAGAAAACAAAAAAATTTGTTTTTGCATTTTAAAATTTTAAGGGTTGAAAAACAAATAATAGACCTTATGTGAATATAAACGTTTCTCAATCCGCCACATAATATAGAAAATTAGTAGCACTCTGCGTGGACGAGGACTTTTTTTTCTTACGGTTCTTGGGGTGAAAACGGGTATAGGTGGTGTTCTCATTGTCTCCACAGTTTTCACTCTAGTTTGTTTTTCTATCGCTCTCAAAGCTTGATGAGAACTACTTTCATAAAGAATTGGGAGGGTTATCACTATCATACTTATTTTGTGCTCACAGGTAAACCTTTGGTAACTCTTGCCAATCAGGAAGCCAGGTAAGTTAACGTCGTCAGCCATGCACGTTTGGCACCACGCAGCACCGCTGTGCATACAATTGTTCTGAGCCCTGTCAAGCTAAAATATAATACACTATTATTTTGTGGTTTAGTCTTTGCTCCCCGTGTCACCCAAACCATTAAAAAGATGGGGAGTGCAGAAAAAAAAAAGCAGATGCTTGAATATTGTTGGAAGGGCCCTCTCAGATGATATTTAGGGCCCCTTGTAATTTTTAGCTTCTGCCTTTGTTTCGCTATCAGTCTTGTTAGTGGTTTGGGAGACTCGAGGAACAAAGACCAAACCACAAAATAATGTATCATATTTTAACTTGACATGGCACAGAACACTTGGACGTACGCTGGTGCTGCGTGCTGCTGAACGCACACAGCTGATAACATTAACCTACATGGCTTCCTGATTGGCCAGAGCCATTAATATTCCTTTCTGAACACGAAATCATAAGTATGATTGTGTTTCCATTCCAATTCTTTTTAAAAGTATTTTTTATTGAGCTTTGGGAGCGATAAAATTAAATAAGTAACAGCCCCTCAAATTGAGCCAGCAACCAAGCGGAGCGGCGCAACAACAGCATGTCTCGCGGAACTCATGGAGTGGCAGCCTTTTCAAAGCAGGTTGAGCTCTCATCCCTCACTTGCTCTTCAAAATGGGGGGGGGGGGGGGAGCTTGCCAAGGCTAGAGTCCCTGTAGAACAACAGTATGTGTGGGTCTTCAGAGAGGGTGCACTTGCTTCGCGCCTAGCATGGGCAGTGCCATGTACGTCGTGGTTGTAGTGATTTTAATGTGCTTATAACTTCCAAAATAACATGAACTTTGCCAACTCGATTGTTTCTCCAAGTTGCCACATTGTCCGATGTCAGTTTCGGCGCAAGTTTCCGACCACTCAAAAAGTAACTGGAGGGGCCTTGCATTGATTGTGATAATAGAAGATTATACTTTGCATACATCCTGAGGTTAACTTTAGTACAATGTGTTCAGAGTTGGTTCCAAAGTGGTGGTGTTGTCTTCTGATGACTGGTACTTCTGCTAAGAGGAACAGTTTTGACTGGTTTTTTGGGGTTCAATTTAGACAGATACTACTGTAGATGAAAAAGATGTTCTACTTTTTTACATTATGAGCTACATAAATAATGACTATGTTGGCCCATATGATGTTAAGTCTCCTTGGATGCAGCTATTGAGAGCCTAACTGGATGTAGTTTTGATATAGAGTCCTTCCAGATGTTTAGAAGTGCCATACAAGTGCCTTGCAGCCTTATGACCATATTCTCAAAACTTTCCCTGTCTTTCTTTTTTAACTATCAGTCATGCATTGATAGTCCACTATTTATTCAGTAAAAAAATGCTTCACCTATTTCAAAATTTGCCCTAGTATGACCAAGTTTCTGTAGGGTGGTTTTCTATATGAAGGCTATCGCTATTAGCGTGCACTATGCTCTACGTGCGATTGTTCGACGTGTGGAACAGTAGTAAATATTGCATTGTTTCATAGTTAGCGAAGGTTTCCATATACAAGGTGTTTTTTTTTTAAAATGCGGACCAAATTGCTCCAACGAAAACTGCATCGCTCGGAAAAGAAGGTTGATGTCAAGTAGAAAAAAGATAAACATAAAGAAAATTTAAGTTTTCTTTTCAATTTTACAGAAAGTAACCTTTTATTTCTTCACTTCAAAGTTATAGTTTCAATTTGAAACTTGCTGGGCATCAGTGAAAGCCCCTTTGTCATCTCCTTTTAAACAGGTAAAAAGCATGCGCAGCATTTTACTAAGTTTTGAAAAACCCAGTTTTGATGCATTCTCTGGTTTTATTTTTTTATCCACGCGCACCTTGGCGGCAGCCGCCCTGCCCTCCTGCGGTTGAAGCGGGGAACTAAGTCTAGGTGCTTCGCCCATGTCGCTTTTGCCTGCCTCTCCTCTCGTAGAAAAAAGATAAGAGTAGTGCGTGCGCACGTCCATGCGAAATGCTGCAGCTTGCTCTTCAAATGAACATGGCATTTGCAAGATTGAGCTTTGTCTTTTGGGTTCACTTCTAGCATGCTGAGAATGATTGGAGTTTCAAAGTGCAATGTGACTGAAAGACGTCAAACACTCCAGCTCCACGCTTTTGCTGCGGCAGGGCAGGATGGCTGCTGCCAAGATGTGTTTGAATACGTCAGAATTGAAGAATTTTTCGAAACTTGAAATGAGGGGTGTGCTTTATACCTGTCCAAAAAAGCTGATATGGGTGTTTTTGATTCTGCCCAGCAAGTTTTCAGATTTCTAAAAAAATATGTATGTAAAAACTTCATTTTTCTGAACATGGAAGTTTTTTCTAAATAGGCCCTTGGGTGCACATCAACACGACATCAGTCTTTCTTTTGTGCGACGCATAGTTTTCGCAGGAGCGATTTGGCCTGCATTTCAGAAACAACATGTATTGTTAGGGGAACATTAAATACGAACAGAGGAGAGTGTGGCTTGCGGTACAGGCTGCGCTGCCTGGAAGTGAGCCTAGGGCAAGGGTGTGTGGCCTGCCCCGATGTGTATATGTCCCTCGCTCGGCTCTTCCCAAGCTCCGGCATTGCGCCTCTAGTGTGCTGAAAGCGCGCGCTCAGCCAGCACGCGCTTTAGCTGCCTGCTACTAGTGGTGAGCTTCCTTGTGCCGCACGCGTCGAGTGAGAAAAGATAGTGGTAATAGCTTTCAGTGCACTAATAGGCGCAATGCCGAAGCTTGGAAGCAGCAAGCGAGGGGCATATACACATCGGAGAAGGCCACGCACCCTCGCCCCCAGGCCCACTCCCAGGCGGCGCGGCCTGTACCGCAAGCTACGCGCTCCTCTGTTTGTATTTCATTTTTCCCCGATAGTACGTCTTTATCCAGGTATCAACGAAAGTCGGCAATTTTGTTCCAAATATTTGAAGGACAAGCAATGAAATTCAGCTGGTGGCGTTCGCTCTGCACGCGACACCCTGCAGTCAGGTGTCTAAAGTCACGCACAGAGTGAAAGCCGCCAGGCAGAGTTCTTACTTTCTCATCAACTATTCACTCCACAGAGTCCAATGCAAAAATGCCACAGACATAGACAGAGAATTACGTTAAACTAATGTTTTATCCTGGCCAGTATGGGAAAACACCACGTTGCATGGCCCCTGGTACTACCAACGCCACCTGCCGGATGCTTAAATGCTGGGCACGAGAGTTTGTTGCGCCTCAGCAAACTCCCTCTTCATCTAAGATCATAGCGGCTGCTGTCTGGCGTCCGCACCGTCATGAGTCCACCGCTCCGCCCGGTGTCCAGAGGGTAGTATACATAGTGCCGTTTGTTTTTGCATAGCGTAATTTATATTTATATCGCCACAATAGTAGCTCGTCATGCAGAAAATGCGGAATGTGAATCCCAAGTCAATTCAGATTGTTAGTAGGTGGTTCTATATAATTTCTTTTTCTTCTGTGGTACCTCCCACAAACACTTCCATAGAAGCATGTGACATGGCATGCTGAATCGCCCTTCAAATATTGGGCAGCGCAAAACACCGACCATTAACCATTACAGTGGATGCACGAGATGCTAGCAGATGATATTAGCGGACGGTCAAAATGTGGCTCGCCATAATGGATGCAAACTTCGTCCCCAGCATGCATTCAATTTTTGGAGCATTTGGCAGGTGGCACTGCCAAATGCTCCTTGTATCTCACATTGGCCAGGATAGTAGAGTTACCACAAACAAAAAAATTCAGTTTCTACTAAATTTTCTTTCGGTGTAGAATAACTTTAAAAAAGTTATTATTGTTGTGGGGTCTATACGCGGCTTGCACATGACACACTTCCATCCTTCTTGCTGGTGTCTCAAACCTGCTGTTAATGCAGTGGATGCTGAGCTCACTCACGATGCTCGTTTCCTGTTTGTAGAAGTAGCACAGTAGGGGCTACGCTGCCAGGCACTTGGCCACCAATGTCTGTCTTAAAGACATCAGTGCAAGGTCCCTAGTGAATTAGAGCACCAATTTTAAGGGGTGAAATATTGTTTGCCACTGCCTTGTTTGAGTGAAACCTAAAAAAGTGCTGATATCAGCTATGTTGCCGTGTCAGCTATGCTGCACACTTCATGTTTGGAAGAAAGTCATTGAAGACAACATACAATTTTTTTAAAATCCTACTTGAATGTTTTTGTTTGAGTGTTTGTTAAGTCATTGAAGACAACATACAATTTTTTTTAAAATCCTACTTGAATGTTTTTGTTTGAGTGTTTGTTTTAAGTGTTCTTAAATGCTCTGTTTTATCCAATTACTAGTGGCTAGCAATGTTACACTGCAATTTATTTTGACCTTTCGGGCAGCACCTTAAAACTACTGGGTTTTCCATGTCATATCGAGCAATGATAGCTTGAGTCTTATTTCTTTTTTATTCTGATCAAAAATATATATACAAGCCACATCCTTGAAGGAACAGCCAGCTAGATATGAAACCTGTAGTTATTTTAGTTTTTGCAGAAATCTAAAATGGAGAAGCTTAGGGTGAAAACTGACATTATTTCAGATGTTATTTTGTATCTGTTATTTTTCGACAAACATATTCACATCCTTTTAACTTTTGTGCTGTAATATACAAATTGACGACATTAAGCTCACAAAGTATTAAGAAGATTAGACTGACTTTTGATGGTAAAATGACAATTAAACATGCCAAGAACATCTTTAAAATTTTCTGAAATTGTCAGATGAAAACGTTTTACGTTACATAGTAAAACTTAACAAAATGTGTGCCATCAATGAACTTCACGAATATATGAAGCATTGTCTTCCATCTTCTATTGTACTTTCAACTTAATTCGGGAATACAGCTATTTTCTCGAAATGTGGCGACATTGTGCTTATAAATTTAAAATGAAGGGACAGTTGAACGATAAATTCACTGGTTGCTCATTGCTATTTGAAGCGAGACGGGGCTAAGAACAAAAAAATATAGGGCTAAATTTCAGGGAATAAGCACTCTATGTTACGTATGCAACCAAGAAAGGGGACCTATGGAGCATGTCATTTTAAAGTGCACGGGGCTTTGTCCCATCTTCTTATGGGGGTGACATGATGATGGATTCGGAGGAGGCACTGAGATTTGTGGACATGGATGGAGGAATGGATAGGGAGAGAATTGCGGTAACAAAGAGGAGATTGGAAGATTGGTGGAAAAGATCTAGGGAGGGGTGAAAAAAAGCAGGTAAAAATAAGCACTGTAAACACTTTAAAGGGGGAGGGTTGTTTTAGAACAATATTTACACAAAATTTAAAAATGGATGATTGTTGGACTAGGAGTGCAAGCTGGCACAAGATACAAAGGGTATAGCCATTGCCATCCATCCATCCACCCAAAACATCATCTTTATTTGCTTTAATCTTTGTTAAACCATTCTCAATAACTTGGACAGCTCAGTATGGTACAACATGTCATAGCATCTGGCCTCCAGATGAGAAAATAGATCACAAGCCTTTGCCGAAAATGGGCAGACTTGTCCTCATTATAAGGGCTGTGCTACACAGCGTCACCTCTGATGAGGTGCTTAGAAGTGCAAAAGGCAGGGAATGTTTTTTATAGTAATCAAAAACTGTGCTCCATAGAAGTCTCTAGGTCAAATTTGCACTTGCCATTTGAGAATGAAGGAGTCAATGAGCCCTAAACTAGTTGTAAACTGTTGTTGACACAGCATTATCTTAAAATTTTGTTACATGCTTGCTGATAACAGCAAGCTTTTTTATGTCATATCACTATTGGTAACATATCTATATTTTTGCATTTTCAGAATACACCTGCAAGAAATTTCACCTTTTGAAAGAAACCACAGTGCGGTCGTCACTGTCGTCTATGCTAAACAAGACGAAGGAGTCCAGCCCTGAGTAAATCCACATCATGAGAGCTTTGACTGCTTTCAAGAAAATAAAGGTGATTGAAATGTTGCTTTCATGTTTTATCATGTTTATCATAAATATGAATGCGCCTTTTACAAAAAAGCAGGCCAGCACGGGTATAAAAGGCTGGTATATTATCCCTTTTTATTAAGAGCTAAAGAAACAAAAAAAAACGAGCATGCCTGCTAAAGGGAGAAATTGATCAAGCCATATGGCTCCTGTGCAAAGAGCTGAAAAAAAGAAGGATGGCAGCTATAGCATGCTGGATAGACACACATAGAGTAAACCATAGAAATAGCTATAGCAGACCATACAGGGAGATAGGCTCCTGTGCAAAGAGCTGAAAAAAAAGAAGGATGGCAGCTATAGCATGCTGGATAGACACACATAGAGTAAACCATAGAAATGTCTATAGCAGGCCATACAGGGAGCTACAGAAAACCAAAGAAACCAAAGGGAAAGCTATAAGAAGCTATAGCAAGCTGGCTAAACAGACCCATAGGGCAAGCCATAGGAATATCTATAGCAGACCATACAGGGAGCTACAGAAAACCAAAGAAACCAAAGGAAAAGCTATAAGAAGCCATAGCAAGCTGGCTAAAGAGACCCATAGGGCGAGACATAGAAATATCTATAGCAGACCATACAGGGAGCTACAGAAAACCAAAGAAACCAAAGGAAAAGCTATAAGAAGCCATAGCAAGCTGGCTAAAGAGACCCATAGGGCGAGACATAGAAATATCTATAGCAGACCATACAGGGAGCTACAGAAAACCAAAGAAACCAAAGGAAAAGCTATAAGAAGCCATAGCAAGCTGGCTAAAGAGACCCATAGGGCAAGACATAGAAATGTCTATAGCAGACCATACAGGGAGCTACAGAAAACCAAAGAAACCAAAGGGAAATCTATAAGAAGCTATAGCAGGCTGGCTAAAGAGACCCATAGGGTGAGACATAGAAATATCTATAGCAGACCATACAGGGAGCTACAGAAAACCAAAGAAACCAAAGGAAAAGCTATAAGAAGCCATAGCAAGCTGGCTAAAGAGACCCATAGGGCAAGACATAGAAATGTCTATAGCAGACCATACAGGGAGCTACAGAAAACCAAAGAAACCAAAGGGAAATCTATAAGAAGCTATAGCAGGCTGGTTAAAGAGACCCATAGGGCGAGACATAGAAATATCTATAGCAGACCATACAGGGAGCTACAGAAAACCAAAGAAACCAAAGGAAAAGCTATAAGAAGCCATAGCAAGCTGGCTAAAGAGACCCATAGGGCGAGACATAGAAATATCTATAGCAGACCATACAGGGAGCTACAGAAAACCAAAGAAACCAAAGGAAAAGCTATAAGAAGCCATAGCAAGCTGGCTAAAGAGACCCATAGGGCAAGACATAGAAATGTCTATAGCAGACCATACAGGGAGCTACAGAAAACCAAAGAAACCAAAGGGAAATCTATAAGAAGCTATAGCAGGCTGGCTAAAGAGACCCATAGGGTGAGACATAGAAATATCTATAGCAGACCATACAGGGAGCTACAGAAAACCAAAGAAACCAAAGGAAAAGCTATAAGAAGCTATAGCAAGCTGGCTAAAGAGACCCATAGGGCGAGACATAGAAATATCTATAGCAGACCATACAGGGATCTACAGAAAACCAAAAAAACCAAACGAAAAGCTATAAGAAGCTATAGCAAGCTGGCTAAAGAGACCCATAGGGCGAGACATAGAAATATCTATAGCAGACCATACAGGGAGCTACAGAAAACTAAAGAAACCAAAGGAAAAGCTATAAGAAGCCATAGCAAGCTGGCTAAAGAGACCCATAGGGCAAGACATAGAAATGTCTATAGCAGACCATACAGGGAGCTACAGAAAACCAAAGAAACCAAAGGGAAATCTATCAGAAGCTATAGCAGGCTGGCTAAACAGACCCATAGGGCAAGACATAGAAATGTCTATAGCAGACCATACAGGGAGCTACAGAAAACCAAAGAAACCAAAGGGAAATCTATAAGAAGCTATAGCAGGCTGGCTAAACAGACCCATAGGGCAAGCCATAGGAACATCTATAGCAGACCATACAGGGAGCTACAGAAACCAAAGGAAAAGCTATGAGAAGCTATAGCAAACTGGCTAAAGGAACCCATAGAGCAAGCCATAGTAATCTCTATAGGTGACCATACATTGAGCTATAGGTGGCTAAAGAAACCAAAGGAAAAGCTATAGGAAGCTATAACAAGATTGCTAAAGAGACCTATAGAGAAAGCCATAGTAATCTCTATAGGCGTCCATATATTGACCTATAGCCGGCTAAAGAAACCAAAGGGAGAGGAAGCTATAGCACGCTGGCTAAAGAAACCCAAAGGGGAAGCTATACAGGGGTCTTTAGCAAACCATTCAGAAAGCTATAGACTTCTGTAGCTAGCTAGTGAGAACCATAGGAAAAGCTAAAGGCACCCATAGGCACGACTGTAGAATGAGCTAAAGACACCCATAGAGGTGGCTATAGCTAATTGGGCCAATTTTCTATAGCCAGCCATACAAAGGATTTTCTATAGCCGACCATAGATCCATAGCGTAAGCCATACAGATCTCTATAGCAGACCATACAAGAAGGTATAGACGGCTAAAGGAACCAAAGCAAAAGCCGTAGGTGGCTATAGCGTCCTTTCTAAAGACACCCATAGAGTCTATGGGTCTCTTTAGAAAGAGGCTATAGACAGCCATAGGGGACACCATAGGAGAAGTTATAGACAGCTATAAAAACGGCTATAGCTATTTGGGCCAATTTTCTATAGCCGGCCATACAAAGATTTTCTATAGCCGACCATAGACCATTTTTGTATGGGTATGCGTTCCTTCGTTTGGAGACTACTACACAAAGCTGAGTGCAAGCGACATAAGGTAAGTTCGTTTTATTATTTTTGATTTAATAGGTTTCTAAAAATATATACATACATTTTTACTCGTTGTTCATAACCACTTTTTATAAAAAAAAAATTTGCATTTGAGTTTAATTATTAGTTGTTTACCGTTCTGATCTCCCGACCGGGCGGGGGTTTCGACACGTGTGTCAAAATTTATGGGGAATATGTCCATACCATTGGCCGTAGCCGTGACTTCATGAGGGGCTCTAGAAATCTAACGATATTGTCACATTAAAGTGTAAAAGTTGAGCAACTCTTCCAAACTTTAACCCAAAATCATCAAAACTTTTTTATCTTAGGCGCTTCGAACAATTAGACTCTGCGATAACGCGGCATGATGCAGTGCTTTCTGTAGAATTTAGGACTTGATAAACAACTGGGTGAAAATACCTATATATACATTTTTGCGTGCTGCTCCTGTCTTATACATTCATTGAGAAATAATAAAAGGCAATGTTCAATATACGTTTTGTTTTTATTTTCGCTGCCCATTTTGAGGTTGATAGGCTCCTTTCTTCTATTTTGAACTGTCGGGAACGGATTACTTTTTTAAGCAGTTTCTCTCTGACAGCTTGCGTGCGCCATCTGCTGAACTGACGAACCCGTTTACGTTTAAGCTCTTGTGTAAATAAAGGAGCACCTGTGTGCCCACGCATACGGCACTCATGTGCATACAAATATTGCGTGCATAAATGTCCTGTATGGACACGTGTTCCGTATAAACACAGAAACAACACTATTGATGCAGGCCCTCTATGAATAGATGCCCGGTACGCATAGAGGGAAACCAGTTTAGATACAGGTTCGGTACGCCCATAACTTCATATGAATTAAACTAGCCGACTTGTATAAACACAGGTCGGCTAGTTCCTTATGATGGTCTTCTCAAAGTATTGCGCTCGTGAAACATGTTGTGGTTAAAACAAAAAAAAAATACTATCTGATAGATATACTAAGAATTGCCAGTGCCTTCGTTTCCAAATAAACTTCAATTGCAAAATTGCACGCGCTAAATTATTTTGTAGGAATCGCGCCGCACGCTTCACAGCACTGATGGAGGGATCTCTTGTAAGGCAAAAGATAAGTTAGAGTCGAACTCGCTGGGTAGATATGTAGTCTTAATCATTTTCATGGTTTACTTTCTTTTGTGGTGCATAGCCTAATTGAATAGAGGTAATTTGCAAATGCAAACCTTCCAGTAGCATCGCAGAGCCATAGAAGATCAAAGCTTACTCAGAACGCAACCATTTACGGTATTCTTTTAATAATACAAGCTTACCTGCAGCTAAGGTTGCATGACAGCAGCGCCCCAAAGACTACAGAAAAATGTTGGATTAATAGTTGGAGGCACCCGCAGAGCCCAGCGATATTCTGAAACCACTGAACGTTCCTAACGAATTCAACATTACGTTCATGCAGTAGTATTAAAAGCAGAAAAGCGCCGATCGCGTACCAATTCCTGGTTCCCGGGCACTCTCAAATCTCTTTACCTCGCTACCTAAGACATTTACAATCCTCGCTCCCAGCTTCTTTTAGAGACGCAAGCCTTGGCACGCGCGCGGCTGTTTGATGGTGCCAATACGTGCGCGCTAATTATATCCTGTAGCTGAGCCTCATTTTCCTAACGGCACGCATGCTGGCTTCTCTTTGCACTCGACGTTTTAGTAGCAGCCACTTAAGCCATACATTAAGGCAGAATAGCATCCAGGTACGCACATTAATGTAACCTCCAAAATAAGCGGACTCACTGCGGAGGATTGAAGGGAATGTGGGTTAATTAGAAGCTTTGATGCCGATTCGGCGCGGCTAGAGGAATTCTCATAAAAAAAAAAAAACTTCGAAGAGACATTTCAGAACTGGGGGTACGAGCAGCAGTTATTTTGTTTTCAGTGAATATTTTGTTCAGTTTCATCCTACTTGCGCTTGATATAAAGCCACTGCCAAGATGAGAAGCGCTGGGAGGTGCTTGAGTTTTGCCGCCTCCATCGCGAGCTATCTACCTTTGAGAAAGTTTCTGCGTCTCGTGTTCCTGGAGCGCGCGCGCAGCAAATGCACGGCCATAGCCTCCTATGTACTGACAAAGCCTGGCAGAT